GGGAATGTAAGTTGATACAGCCACTATGGAGAACAGTATGGAGGTTCCTTAAAAAAGTAAAAATAGAATTACTGTATGACCCAGCAATCCCACTACTGGACATATATCCAGAGGAAAGCATAATTCACAAAGACACATGCACCCCAGTGTTCACTGCAGCCACATTTACAATAGCCGGGACACGGAAGCAACCTAAATGCCCATCGACAGATGAATGGATAAAGAAGATGTGGTACATATATACAATGGAATATTACTCAGCCATAAAAAGGAACGAAATTGGGTCGTTTTTAGAGACGTGGTTGGACCTAGAGACTGTTAAACAGAGTGAAGTAAGTCAGAAAGAGAAAAACAAATATTGTATATTAATGCATATATGTGGAACCTAGAAAAATGGTACAGATGAACTGGTTTGCAGGGCAGAAATTGAGACACAGATGTAGAGAACAAACGTATGGACACCAAGGGGGGAAAGCGGCGGGGGGAGGGTGGGTGGTGGTGTGATGAATTGGGAGATTGGGATTGATGTATATACACTAATATGTATAAAATGGATAACTAATAAGAACCTGCTGTATAAAAAAGATAAATAAAATTCAAAAAAAATATAAAAACTGGGACCATTTAAAAAAGAAAAGGAAGAATAATATCTAGTTGCTTTGTGAGTAAGGACTTACGAAGCAAAAAAGTTACAGATGGAAACAAAGGAAATGGTGAACAGTTTTGACCATGTAAAACTTCAAAATCTCTACTTAAAAAAAAAAAGTAAAAGGTAGATTTAAAAATAACTTAAGTATGCTTGCAGCAGATATGAGAAAAGCGTAATATCTTTATCATGAAAAATGCTTACGGATTAATAAGAAAAATGGATCAACAGTAACATGCCGGTCATACTAAGAAAGAATATGTTTTTAAGAGTTCACTAATAAATTCAAAGAAGTTCAAACTGAAAGAATAGTAAGATAATATATTCAACTATCAAATTGGCAAAGATATTTTTTTAAAAATTCAGTGTCGATGTCTTTGGAATTGTGAACAGGGCAGCTTTTCTAGAAAGCAGTTTTGACATGGATATCAATCACCTTATGGATGTTTATAGCTTTTGGAATCATAATTCCACTTTTTAGAATTTATCCTAAGGAATTAATATTCATATGTTTATCATAGCATTATTTTTTATTTAGGTTTTTTTAATTCAGGTATATCTTATCAATAAAGTGCCCAAATTTTAAATGAACAGCTTGATTAAGTTTTACATGTGCATACACCACAAAACCATCTCCCAGGTCAAGATACAGGACATTTCCAGCATCCGGAAGGCTCCTCTCAGTCAGTACCTGTCCTCACCAAGAGTAACCAGTATTATGACCTCTGTTGCCGTAGATCTGTTTTGAACTTCACATAGCATTATTTATAATAGCAAAAAATTGAAACAGTCTAAAAGTAGATAATGAAGAACTGACTACTTTGTTGGATCTCCATGTGATGAAATAATATGAAGCCATTAAAAACGTTTTTGGTATGGAATTTCAGTTTGGGAAGATGAAAAAGTCCTGGAGATGGATGGTGGCGATGGTTGCACAACACTGTGAATGTACTTAATGCCACTGAACTGTAAACCTTAAAATGGCAGATTTTACATTATGTGTATTTTAACATAATTAAAAAATGTTTTGGGTGCTCTAGGTGAAGTTATATAGAGGAATTTTTGCATTATTTTTGTATGTTTTTGTAAGTCTGAAGTTATTTCAAAATAAAAAGTTATAAAATGTCTTTGGAGAATTTTTATTGAGTAAATCTCAGTATAATATATAGTGAAAAAAATATTCAGATCATACTACATATATAGCGTAACCCTAATTTTTTGTGGAGGAGTTGGGATGGGTTATGTGTGTGTATACACACATGTGAATATACATTATCTTTGCATAGATTTGAAAGCCTATGGAGAGATCAAGTGATACACCAATATATTGATATCGGTTTCATTATTGTGGTGATACTTTCCTTTTACCAAACTTCCTGTGATTACCCACATATTCCTTTTACAATTAGAATAAAGCAAGAAAAATTTTAACTAGAAGTTATTAAAAGGGAGAAAAATAAGGACTTCCCTGGTGGTGCAGTGGTTAAGAATCCACCTGCCAATGCACGGGACACTGGTTCGAGCCCTGATCTGGGAAGATCCCACATGCCGCGGAGCAGCTAAGCCTGTGCGCCACAACTACTGAGCCCACGTGCCACAACTACTGAGGCCCGTGCGCCTAGAGCCCATGCTCCACAACAAGAGAAGCCACCGCAATGAGAAGCCCACGCACCGCAACCAAGAGTAGCCCCTGCTCGCCACAACCAGAGAAAAGCCCGCGCACAGCAACAAAGACCCAACACAGCCCAAAAAAATAAAATAAATTTATTTTTTTTTAAATGGGAGAAAAATAAAACTTTTCAAAAATTGGCTTAATGACTTTGAAGATTACTTTCTTTAAGGGTTGTTCTCTTTCTTCATCTCTATCTTCGGTCATATATTTGCCAAGTCTCTTTTCTCCAGGTCTGATTCTAGGTAATGGTCTTTATCTTTTACCGTTTTTCCCCCAATCTTTTATTTTAAAATAATTGTTGATGTAATTTTCATGGACCATCTGTGCTAATAGTGTATTTTTTTCCCCAGGTATTGAATTGAAACACCTTTGTTTGGAATACATGACTCCGTGGCTGTCAAATCTAGTACGTTTTTGTAAGCACAATGATGATGCCAAAAGACAAAGAGTTACTGCGATTCTTGATAAGCTGATAACAATGACTATAAACGAGAAACAGATGTATCCATCTATTCAAGCAAAAATATGGGGGAGCCTTGGGCAGGTATTGAGTTTGCTCAAATATTTATCTAGTACCTCCTTGGTGGAGATATTTATCTGATACCCACGTTGTACAAAGCACTAAGCTAGGGATATAGCTGTATAAAAGACAGTCCCCTCTTTCAAAAAGCATGCAGACACCCACCTAATTCTTGATCTGCTTCAGAATTGTTCAAGTCTAATGCATGTCTCAGAGCCAGAGAAACACTAATTATTTTAGCACTCTTCTCCATGGCATAATTACAGTCATCCCACAGAATTCTCAGTGTGTAGAACCCACAGGTGCTGAGGGCCAGCTGTACTATGCCATTTTTTATGTAAGGGACTTGAGCATCCCGGGAATCTGGTATCTGCAGGGAGTCCTGGAACTAATCTCCAGGGATACCAAGGGATGGCCGCATGTAGAATTTAACTGTAAAAATCTGATGTTGTTTTTAATAAATAGTGCATTAGAGTGTATTCTAGTACCCTATATACCATAGGTGTCAGTAAATGTTTGCTAATGATGTTATTTGGGCCACCTGCTCTCACTTATAGTACCAGCATAAGAATGCCAATATTAAAATAGTATAATGTAACTATGTTTTATCTGACAAGATTTATGCTACCATTTCTTCAAGATAATCATTGAAGGAGGCGATACCCTTACTCAATGCTGTGAATCCTCCAAATAATTTTAAATGACCTTGGAGCCATTTTTGTAGCTCTACAAAACATCTCAGTACTTGATGTCATTCCTGTATTTTAAAATAATTGTACTTTATACTGCTCGTACATACTGTCTTAGAAGAGAACAGAGGTGCTTTAAGAGTGAGTGAAAATAGGACTTCCCTGGTGGCGCAGTGGTTAAGAATCCACCTGCCAATGCAGGGGACACGGGTTCGATCCCTGGTCTGGGAAGATCCCACATGCCGTGGAGCAGCTAAGCCTGTGCACCACAACTACTGAGCCTGCGCACCTAGATGCCGTGTTCCGCAAGAGAAGCCACCGCAATGAGAAGCCCGCACACTGCAACGAAGAGTGGCCCCCGCTCACCGCAACTAGAGAAAGCCTGCCTGTGCGCAGCAGCGAAGACCCGACACAGCCAAATTAATTAATTAATTAAATAAAATAGTAAAAAAAAAAAAAGAGTGAAAATAATATATGTAGAGATTTTAAATTTTTGAATGCCAGTCTCTGAAGGAATTGAGGGAATATTCTCATCCTTTCCTGGATATTTTATGATAAATTATATTTATTGACAGGTCTCTAAATAAAGCCTAGTATTTTGGAGGCCTCAGGTAAAATAGAATTTTCATGTTGATTGGGCTACTCCTTGAACTATTTTTAAGTTAAAAATTAAGTTGGCAGAATGGCTAAAACATGAGTTATCTTTCCCTCTTCCACTAGATTACAGACCTCCTTGATGTTGTCCTAGACAGTTTCATCAAAACCAGTGCAACGGGTGGCTTGGGATCAATAAAAGCTGAGGTGATGGCAGATACTGCTGTAGCTTTGGCTTCTGGAAATGTGAAATTGGTTTCAAGCAAGGTAATCCCTTTTCCTTTGCCTTCTGGGCTATGGCTTGATGTGTCTATTTTTATTATCAGGAGGTTTTCTGTTTTATAACGAGTCATTTTAAACTGAAATTTTTTGTGATAAAACTTTTTAACTCCCATGTTTTTTATAATTCTTCTTCTTTACAGGTTATTGGAAGGATGTGCAAAATAATTGACAAGACATGCTTATCTCCAACTCCTACTTTAGAGCAACATCTCATGTGGGACGATATTGCTATTCTAGCCCGCTACATGCTGATGCTGTCCTTCAACAATTCCCTGGATGTGGCAGCTCATCTCCCCTACCTCTTCCACGTCGTTACTTTCTTAGTAGCCACAGGGCCACTCTCCCTGAGAGCTTCCACACATGGACTGGTCATTAATATCATTCACTCTCTGTGCACTTGTTCTCAGCTTCATTTTAGTGGTAAGTTCCAGGAAAGCCCTTTGCGTTTCACCAGTTCCTTTCTCCATTTTACACCACTTGACTGGCATAGATTACCTTATTATTTATTACGGTACCTTAATACCAAGCTGCTTAATCAAGCCTATGTTAATGATATGAAATATAATCAAATCAAAAAGAAAAAGAATGAATTACTTGCATTCCATCTCAAGCCATGACAAAGATATTCTGTGCACGTTTGTCATGTAGACTCTAGTAGTTATCACATAAGCTAAAGGCTCAGCACTGGTTGACAGTGTTGCTTTACTAGCACAAATTTGTACATAAAGGGAGTTAAGTAATGAGCATTAAGCTCATGTATCCAGAAGGTTGGTTTAGGGCGCATTGTTATGTAATTTTGATATGATATTCAAATTATCTAAATTCAAAATGAAATATGGCGCTTTAGAATTAAAAAAATTGTATCTTTAAAGTCTTTACTTGTTCCTTTTTTCTTTTACAGAAGAGACCAAGCAAGTTTTGAGACTCAGTTTGACAGAGTTCTCATTACCCAAATTTTACCTGCTGTTTGGCATTAGCAAAGTCAAGTCAGCTGCTGTCATTGCCTTCCGCTCCAGCTACCGGGACAGGTCATTCTCTCCTGGCTCCTATGAGAGGGAGACTTTTGCTTTGACATCCTTGGAAACAGTCACAGAAGCTTTGTTGGAGATCATGGAGGTATAGAAGGCAAAATGATAAGAAACTAAGCTCATTTTTAAAAATCCACTGGTACTGTATAGAAGAAATACTGGTTTATTCTGCCGTTTTGCACTTAATGCTTAAATAAAAACACTCCCATGGAATGTGTTTATTGGTAATATATATGTCACTTGTTTAGTGCCATTATAATAAACATTTTTTAATGTTTCTATAAACATTTATATACATAAATATATTCAGAGTATCTTTTTTTTAGGCATGTATGAGAGATATTCCAACATGCAAGTGGCTGGACCAGTGGACAGAACTAGCTCAAAGGTACGTCCCAAGTAAATTTAAGTTGCAAAAGTACGTGTACTGTTGAAAAGATAGATACTATTGCATAATCAGTATTTTAATTATTTAATATATATAAACACAAAGGTTTTCATAAGCTCTTTGGATCTTTAAATTGCAGATTTGCATTCCAATATAATCCATCCCTGCAACCAAGAGCTCTTGTTGTCTTTGGCTGTATTAGCAAACGAGTGTCTCATGGGCAGATAAAGCAGATTATCCGTATTCTCAGCAAGGTACCTCCTCCTCTCCTCCCAACTATTTGTTGCTCCCAAGTTGTAAAGTATATCTTGAATTTTTCTAAGGGACATTTAAATTTGAATTTAATAAAATATCTTGTATGTTGCTTATTGAATCTTTAAAAAATGGGTTTTGATTATTTTTTTATTGTAATTCTTTGAAGTGAAGAAACCTCTCTCTAGAGAACATATCTTAAAAAGAAAATTAAGTATTTCTTTTGGTAGAAGGTACTCTTAATATTTTATTATAAGCATTTAACTAGATGGTAAGACTAGCCTTATATAAAATTATATAATTTGTAATTACCTGTAATAATGCCTGATTTCTTATATTAGAATATAATATAGAAATATTTTAAAATAAGAACCCAAATGTGCTTTGAGCTAGCTACCAAAATCACCATAGCACTGGAAATAATCCTCACACTTATTAAATAAGGAATTGTTCCTGAAATAATTCTGAGATTCAGTTTAGGAGTTAATGTTTTATTTCAATGAAAGTAAAATAAAGAATTCTGTTTCCCTAAAAGGCGCTTGAGAGTTGCTTAAAAGGACCTGATACTTACAACAGTCAAGTTCTGATAGAAGCTACAGTAATAGCACTAACCAAGTTACAACCACTTCTTAATAAGGTAATTACTGTGTAGAAAATGAGTGCATTCATTTTGGGTGTCAGTGTTAAATGTTATTTTCTTTCAGAATTCAGAAAATAAGATGGATTGAGAAGTTACAAAGAAAGAGCTATAGTTAAAGTAGAACTTCCTGCCTTAAAATTTAGTTGTTTGAAGTATTTACGTTAGAGGAAGAATAAGTATGGGCAGTACGTTCTCAAATGCTTGTGTGTTGTCTCATCAGTGCTAAAGGACAGATGGGTATATATTCTTAATTCTTTTATCCAGTAAGTAATAATTGGGCATCTGCTATGTGCCAAGTACTGTTTTAGGTACTAGAGATATATAGCTGAACATAGCCAATAAAATTATCTGCCTTCATGGAACTTTCATTCTAGGGTGAATGTGGAAGTTGAGGAGTGGCTAGATAATAAAGTAATTAAAATACATGATATATTAATCGGTGACCATTATTGTGAAGAAATGTAAAGCTGGGTAAAGTATACCTGATAATCAAAAGTTTGGGTGCTAAATGAAGGTAATGTTTAAAAGGAATAAGATGATACTAGCCACTGTTTTAGGGTGGTCTGAGATCATCTCAGCTTTGTGACCTCAAGCGGATCATTTAACATCTGGACATCATGTTTCCACATTGATAAAATGAGTAAAATGGACTAGATGACGGCCTAGTATTATCTTCCAACTCGGAAGTCATATTCTGTGAATTAAGTACAAAGATATGCCAGATTTCAGAGAGATTACTGAGAAATAAATACTTGTATATTCCTGGTATTGAGTTATATGTTCTACAAACATTCTAATCCTAACTTATACAAAATGGTTCTCTCGTCTTCACTGTGAGGGTGAAGGTCATTCTGGCGGTCGTGTGCACAGTGGATTGGAGCAGGGGGAAACTGGAGGCAGAAAGAATCTGCATTTAGAATAAAGAAGGTTGGCACGGCACAGTGTCATTAGCAATAAACAGGCACAAAAGGGACTACGTTGGAAGCATCAACAAAACTTGGTGACCAGGTTTTAGAATCCAAGAATACAGAGCAATCAAAGGAGATGCCAAGGTTCTCAGCCTGGTAACAGTGTCTTTAGTTACACACGTGGAATAGAGGAAGAACTTACTGATATATTTACCTTATCCAGAAGAGAAAACATGCATAATTTGTGGGATAACATGATCTGTTTTGTACTGCAGTGTGTTTTGATGAGGCTGTTTGTGGTTCATCTTGCTAACCTGTAGTGCGTCTCCCTTGCCAGGACTCCCCTCTGCATAAAGCCCTCTTTTGGGTAGCTGTGGCCGTGCTGCAGCTCGATGAAGTCAACTTGTATTCAGCGGGCACCGCACTTCTGGAACAAAACCTGCACACCTTAGACAGTCTCCGGATATTCAATGACAAGGTGAATAAGCTTCCACTTGGTATTCCTAAATGCCAAGCACATTAGAGCTCCTCCCTCTCTTCTTGTTGTTATCTTTTAAAATCAGAAGAGGTCCGTAACTTAAATATGAATTTCTGTAATGCAACTTATTATGAGTATAGTTCCTTACCAGCTCATAAAAACTGTTTAAACTTTGCATATTTTTAATATAAAAATAGCAGAAAACAGTATTTGCCCAATATTAGTAAACAGAATAGGTATAAAAATAGTAATAACAGTAGCTACCATGCTAGGCCCTATGCTGTCCAATGCACTCTACACTCAGTTGTAATTTCATAACCCAAAGGTAAAGGTTAGCCTTCCCCACCCCCATTTCACTTCACAAAGAAATAATCTGAAAATTAGCTTACTTTTATTGAATTATGGTACTTAATGGAAAATAGGTATAATTAGAAGCAGATAAGGAATTTGGAGAGTCTAAAGGAAGCTTTTGGATACTTAATTGTACTAGTTTTTTGTTTGCTTAATCCCACTTTAAAACATACCATCACCACCCCTCTTAACATTTATCAGCCTTGATTGAGGTTGGATTTTGGTTCACAGAGGATAGTGGAAGGAATATAACAGTAAGAAATTATATTCCTTTTGTCTTTGGAGAAAAGAAATGGGACGAGTCTAGGAGAAAAGAGAGGAATTTTAAGATAGATGTGTGTATATAACAAGAGATTTGCTTGAAGTTAAATTAACAGAGCTTGTGGGTAGAAAGAAACAGAACCAGAGCACGGTTTTAAGTGTGAAGGTACCTCATCTAAAAATTATTTGTTCAGTCTTATGTAGACCCAGAACAGCTGGGGCTCTGGGAAGTATGGAAACAAAATTATAGAGATAGAAGCTACCTTGAAGTTTATCAGTCAGACCTCCATTTTACAAGATAGAAAAGAACAAAGAAGTCAAGTAACTTGTTCGTGTTTGTACATCTGATGTGGGACTAGAACCTCTCTTTCCTAATCCCCATTGCCGTTTTCTGGGGTGGTCTTGGGACAGTGGTGGTCAGAGAGATAGCTAGCTATTGGCCATTTCTGTGAATATAAGAATAGTCGTAAGTGAAGTGTTTGTCTAGGAATATCTGCCTTGGCATTTTCATTGCCAGAATAGCCCATTAGCAGAAGCTAATATTGCCTCCAGTGCCCCAGGATACTAGGAATCAGAGATAATAAAGCCTGTTAAAAGTCACCAGAATGAACGATGAATAAGGTCTGAGAATCTGTTGTATAACCTGGTGACTGTAGTTGATAACACTGTAGTGTATAATTGAAATTTGCTAAGAGAATAGAACTTAAATGTTCTCACCAAAACGGGGGATGGGATATGAATATGTGAGGTGATGGATGTGTTTATTAACTTAATGCGGGGAATCCTTTCACAACATGTATGTGAAAGGGTATATATTCATCATTCAAATCATCACATTGCACACTTTAAATATCTTACAATTTTATTTGTCAGTTATACCTCAATAAAGCTGAAAATATATATATAAATTGAACATATAGTAGGTTAATACTTTATGTAATATTTATGATATTCTGCAATTTGTTTTTTTATTTAACAATATAAAGTGAACATCTTTCTAAGCATGTATCTATGCACACACACACATAAATGTGTGTGTATATATATACATTTGTATGTGTGTGTATAATTCTTTCTCATGGCTGCAGAGTATTTTACAGTATGCATGAAGCACAATTTATTCAACCATTTGCCCATTAATGAACATTTGATTTGTTTGTCATCTTTTCTATTATAAAAAATGCTCGAAACATCTCTCTACATTTATTTTATAGACTCATGCTTTTCTTTCTTTGAGATAGAAATCTAGACAGACCTGAACATGACCCTAAATACCTTCAGTTTTTGCTTTAAAAAAATCTCTGTGCATAAGGAAATCACAGGGCTTCTTTTTTTAAAATGCAAATTCCCGGTCCTTATCACCTCTCATGATTCTGAGATGGAACCCAGTACTTTCCACCTTTAAACAAGCATCATCAGTGACTTTAAAGCAGGTATTCCTGGTACCACACGTTAGGAAACATTGATGTATGTGCACTGCCATATGTAAAACCGATAGCTGGTGGGAACCTGCTGTATAGTGCAGGGACCTCAGCTCCGTGCTCTGTTTCGACATAGATGGGTGGGATGGGGGTGGGGGTGGGGAGGTCCAAGAGGGAGGGGATATATGTATACATATAGCTGATTCACTTCCTTGTACAGCAGAAACTAAAACACTGTAAAGCAACTATACCTCAATTTTTAAAAAATCTTAATTTAGAGGTCAAGTTACACAGTATTTTTGAGTTTCAATTTCCTTGTTTTCCCACACTAGAATGTCACATCCACCAGGGCGAGTAGTTTCTGTCTGTTTAGTTCACTGACGTACTTGCAGAGCCTAGAACCATGCCTGGCACATCAAAACATATAATGAGTATTTGATAAGTAAAAGAATGAATGAATGAATCTGTCAATCTGTAAAGTAGAGCTAATACCTATTACATAGAATTGCTTTAAGGTTTCAATACAATAATGTATCTAACACTTGTATACAGCAGGCGCTCAGTAAATATGAACTCTCTTCATTCTCTTGAATTTCCAGTCATCATAGTACACGAAGTGCCAGCTACAGTTCAGTGCATGGTCTTATTTAAAATAACAATAATTTTAGTTTTTAAAAAGTCACCAGGATATAAATTGACAGTCACTTACTTTGCATTGTAAATCAAAGCTGTTTTATCTTCCATCACCTTATTATTTGTATGCTTAACTATCTTGCACGAATTTATTTGCAGTACCTTAAATGTTCTGTGGTTTTCTGTAGTCACCTGAAAATAATTTCTCTCAACCTGAAAGGAGTATTTACCTTGTCACAGCTGTTGAACACAAACAAAAACCAATAAGTGATCCTTCCTGTGTGGACCCCGTCAACCATCTCATGATTATTTTTTAATAGAGTCCAGAGGAAGTATTCATGGCGATCCGGAATCCTCTGGAATGGCACTGCAAACAAATGGATCATTTTGTTGGACTCAATTTCAACTCTAACTTTAACTTCGCACTGGTTGGACACCTCTTAAAAGGTAGAGGCCTTATGTCAGAATATTTTTATGAAATGGTGTCGGGAAGCCAGAAGTAACTGAAATGATTGAGTGCTTGAAATAATTTGGCTCATGTGTCTCACTTTATACGCAACTGTATGTCTTACTGAGTTATGTTTTGTTCAGTATATATTTCAATAGAGCCTAATTTCCACATCACGTATCAAATTTCCTTTAAAAAGCAAAGGAGTTGATTCTTATAAAATTTCTAAGTACTTTCTAATAGCTGTTTTATTAATTAATGCTACTTATTGATAAGTATCTTTTTGATTATCAAAATAAGATAGACTGCAAATCAATAAATGTTATTTGAGTAACTTCATGTTAGAAAATGTTATGTTAGAGATTTGACCACAGATTTTCTTAACTTGTTACTAATTTACTGTTGATCAGTCCGATTATCACATACCGTAGACCCTCACCCTTCTGGTGCCCCATCCTCCCACCTCCGCATTTCTGTACTGCTTACAGCAGCGACCTCCAGCTCTTCCTCAGAGCCAGCTTATTCACTCCCTCACCTGACTTTACTCCCTACTGGTGACTTCGCTGAGTGTTAGTTTTGGTTTATCAGTGTGGGGCAGTCATGGCCCAAGACTGCAGTTAACAGGAATAGCAAATGGGGTGAGTCAGAAGCAAAAACAGTGTAAAATATGACCTGGGATAAGGAGCTGGCATGAGTTGCTGGCTTTAGATTTGGCCAAAATTAGAGACTCAAACTAGAGCTTGAATCTGCAGTTTTGTATCAATTTAAATGATTGTTAAGCTTGAGGGATCATAGAGGTTCCCCCAGTTTTTAACCAAATATATATATATATACACCTACCATTGTGAATGTATACATTTGATTTCACCACCTTATGAAATTTCTGCAAAAAACATTGACAGTTTTAATCTCTTAAGTGAATAGGCATTGCTCAAAAGATATTACATTTACCACAGGATACCAAGAAGATGGATTGCAACTAGGCTGATAAAATGCTTGTTTATTCTGTATTTCTAAAAGAATACCAAATAATTTCAATGTACAAATCCCCTATTTTAAATGGAGTAGCATTAGTGATTAAAAGTTGTCCAGAGATCAAGCTTACCCTCTAATCAACCAGATTCTTTGGGCTCTGAGAGCTTATACTCCCTATATCATAAGGCTTTTTTCTTTAATTAAAAAGAAAATTTAAGGGCTTCCCTGGTGGCGCAGTGGTTGAGAGTCCGCCTGCCGATGCAGGGGACGTGGGCTCGTGCCCCGGTCCGGGAAGATCCCACATGCCACGGAGCGGCTGGGGCCGTGAGCCATGGCCGCTGAGCCTGCGCGTCCGGAGCCTGTGCTCCCCAACGGGAGAGGCCACAGCAGTGAGAGGCCCGCGTACTGCAAAAAAAAAAAAAATTTAAGTGATAGAACCCTATTTTCAAAGCATATCGTAAGGCAAACTATACTAAATAGGTTTTTAAAAATTCCTTGTGCTGCTTTAGGGAATAGAAGATCTGAAAACGCCATCATCTTCTAATTTCCCTCCCCCTGAGGTACCTTTGAGTTCCAGGGAACATTATTCTATTCTATACATTTTTGGTGCTTAATCCTATATGTAATTAATTAACTATTAACATATGTATATATTTTACCTTCCCAAATGGCTATTCCCCTTACATACTTCCTTTCCTTGCAGAGTTGCTAGTCACAGAAAAAGAACTCAACAGATACTTGTTGAAAGAATGAATTAACTTCGTGTTTGTTTTATTTTTTGTAGGATACAGGCACCCTTCACCTGCCATTGTTGCAAGAACAGTCAGAATTTTGCATACACTACTAGCTCTGGTTAATAAACATAGAAATTGTGACAAATTTGAGGTGAATGCACAGAGCGTGGCTTACTTGGCAGGTAAAAACAGAAAATAGACAAAATTAATCTTACCACAGTTATATCTAAGGACCATGAAAAAGGTACAGACACCTCTGGGTCCTTCTGCTGGTTGCTTGGCAGGGTAAAGAGCTCACATTTCAGTCCTGTGGTGTTGGTCAAAATTTGGAACGTTTTGCCAAAACATTTTTCCTTAGAAAAGAATTTGCATTAATGTGTGAAATGTGTTCCCTTAGTCATCTTTGGTTCAAGACACCACGTGGCTCCCTGTTGTCTGTCGTAAAATCTAAAAGCCTCAGCCTAGCATCCTGGGCCCTTAAGCAGCCCTCCTGATTCTGTCCTCTTTCTCTAATTTCATAGGCCTCATTTTTTATTACCTCTCCAAATGGATGGGCTATTTTAAGCTAATCTACTTGCCATCTCCTGGAAGTGCCTTTGTGCTTCTTTAATATTCATTTCTGATGCCCTTTGTTTTACCTAGACTTTCTGCCCATCCCCACCATTCCATTATACCATCCCTATCTGCTCTTACCTGATTTGTGATTCTCCTCTCAACAGCACTTAGCACTTATGTATAACACAGTTTTTGAACATCGTTGTTTGTTGGAAAGTGCTGATTCCCAGTTTAGCAGACTTCAGTGTGTGGCAACTTTTTTGTTTGAATTATTTGACCTTGGGCAAATCATTTAACATTTCTCAGAGTATTTTTCTTTATCTAAGAAATGGACCTTATAGTCCTGCCCTGCCTACATTTTGTGTTTGTTGAGGTCCAGTGTTTATTAAAGCACTTGACTAATATAAGGTGCTATTTGACTCTCTTTGTAAGTTTCGTGTTTACATGCAGTCTTCCAAAACAGACTGTAAACGCTTTAACATAAACAAGTCTGTCCTAAGTGTTTTATATCCTTAAACTTCATACTCTCATGTTTAATAGCTGTTACTCTCTTCAGGAGGTTGTAAGAAGTATAACCTAATTTAAGTCACACACTTGTGATTTATTAAATTTTAAAATCTTCCTTCTTTTTCCTTTTAGCTTTACTTACAGTGTCTGAGGAGGTTCGAAGTCGCTGTAGCCTAAAACATAGAAAGTCTCTTCTTCTTACTGATATTTCAATGGAAAATATTCCTATGGATACATATCCCATTCATCATGGTGACCCTAGCTATAGGTAAATGGACTTCTTCTCCCACAATTACATAATTACAATCAGGTTTCAGTATTCCATGCCAATGGAGGCAAGCGGGCAGAGTAATCCAGAAGGTAATATAGGAGGGACTCTAAAGATAACCTAGGAAGAGTGTGTAAATCAAAACGCATTTTATAAATGTACAGTATTTTTATGTGTGTTAGTTGAAGGAAAGTTCTTCTAATTGTGCTAATTAGTTAACAATAGTTTGCCTCTTTCTAAGCACAAATCAGTTGAATAATGAAAAGAGATGATCTTGAAAGTATCAGATTCCTAGGAAAAGGCCTAGGAAAACCTAATGTGAAATATAAGCAACATTACATGCTTAATGATAGAAAACTAAGCTATACAGATTTGTAAAAAGATACACATGCCAACATATTTATTGTATTTACCCATATCACACTAACGTTACTAAAAAGTTTTCTATAGTACAGATTTAGATGTTAAGATAATCAAATTATATCCTGTTGTATGTTGCTTTGAGTGGTATATTTTTCACTAAAACAGAGAGAAATTACATGAAAATAGCATCATTTGGAGTTTTTTTATATTTTCAATTCAACAAAGATACCTTTAAGTTTTAGGTACAGTGTTGAACATGGGAAAATAATCTTGTATTTGTAGTGCTTATATCATTAAATTTATCAACATCCCACTTTTTGATAAAAAGCCCTCAGCAATTTCCAGCTGAGATGTTAACAATGTATGCAAAAGCTTTCCAGGCATACTTGGCTTTCAGTAGTCTTACTCTTCAGTCATTCCTATGATTATATTTCTTTGAGATATGCCCTTTTTTGTTATGAAAAGGAGAAAGGGAGTTTGACTGTGTTCCCCCTTGGTTTTTAAACCAGGGATACAATTGCTTATTTAGACTTGATTCTCCCTGATTAAAAAAATCAATGCAGTACAGTTCAGTTGAGCATTTGTTGAGTACCTACTGTGTATAAGATGTCATGGCAAGAAAGTGGATACTTCCTGGGGATAGATTAAGAGTTTGTACCCTAAAGAGCGAGCTTTAAAGTACAGTTTTAAAATTACTTGATCGCTGCCATTGGGAAATATAGTAGCCAATTAGAAGGGCCAGCAGTGGTTGTATTTGTCATCATGTTTATTGATTCTTCTCAATTGTTTTAATCTCTCAGGACACTAAAGGAGAATCAGCCATGGTCCTCTCCCAAAGGTTCTGAAGGGTACCTTGCAGCCAGCTATCCACCTGCGGGCCAGACCAGTCCCCGAGCCAGGAAATCCATGAGTTTGGACATGGGGCAGCCTTCTCAGGCCAACACGAAGAAGTTGCTTGGTTAGTTTATCTAAATTATGTAGAAAGTTTTAGAATTCTTTTCAAAAATGGTCAGATACTTTCACTCCTGGAAAATTATTTGAAGCTGTTCAAGATGATCAAAATCTCCTGTTTTTGATGTAGGAAAGTTTTTGATGCCAATTATGAGAGAGTTTGATAGATCAGTTAAGCCATATCAGTTAAGATAGAGGAATGAGAATGAGATCTTGAAACAGTTTTGGAGGGATTCTTAGACTAAATATTGTGGCTCTACTTGTTTTACTCTGCCTTGGCCAGGCAGAAGGGAAATGCGAGTAAGAGAGACATTAGATACTCACAGAAAAGGAAGAGTCTTGCAGCATTCAGATGCAGGGCCTTTAACAATGTATTTCCCAAAATTACCTTCTGAGGACAGAATACATAAATATGCTATGAAGCTATAATAATACTATTTGCCATCTTTTCTTTAAAAAAACAAAAAGGTAAGAGTTTTTGATTACTGTATTTTTTTATTACTGTAAGAAGATAGGGTTCTTGGAAGTTAAAATTGCTCGGTTATATCAACATTTGACCATGAGAAATATACCTGAAATGCTGTGAGACACTTTTTCCCTTTTCAAAAACTGAAGTAAATAATGAGAGAGCCCACTGATCCCACCTCACCACAGATTGAATGCAAAGGTGCTCTTACACAGCTTTGGCTAAAGAAGTATAAAATAAATAACCTGCCAATAAACCATGAGAGAAGTTGAAACCATGAGTGTTAATCACTATTACTAGTCACATAGGACTGTTATCTTTTGTTTATTTATTTATTTTTGGCTGCATTGGGTCTTTGTTGCTGTTCACAGCCTTTCTCTAGTTGTGGTGAGCGGGGGCTACTCTTCGTTGTTGTGCACAGGCTTCTCATTGCGGTGGCTTCTCTTGTTGCGGAGCACGGGCTCTAGGTGCACGGGCTTCAGTAGTTGCAGCACATGGGCTCAGTAGTTGTGGCACACGGACTTAGTTGCTCCGCAGCATGTGGGATCTTCCTGGACCAGGGCTCGAACCCGTGTCCCCTGCATTGGCAGGCGGATTCTTAACCACTGCACCACCAGGGAAGTCCCAAGGACTGTTACCTTTTGTTTGAGTTCCTTTCTCTTTATACTTTTCCATAAATAATGTTATAGGAGTTTCCTGGTTACTTTGTGTTTTGTGATTCTGAGTTTTCATGCCAAGGAAGTTGTAAATGAAAAACTAACTTCAGAGAAAATGCAATATTGAATTCATTCAACCCATGTGATAGACGAAAAAGTTACAGTCTTTGCCCTGGAGGAGCTCATAGTTTGGTGGCTAAGACTTAAAATCAGACAATTGCAACAGCATCCCCAGGTGCCATTAAAGTAAGGAAACTAGGAAAAGCTACAGAGAGGAGGTAACATTTGAACCAGACCTTGAAAATTTAATACATGCTTGCCCAGTAGGCACAGGATAAGGAAGGCATGTATTCAAGAGAGGGGGGAAATAGCATGAATAAAGCAAAGTCAGGAAAAGCACTTGGGTACGAAATGAGGCTAGAGAAGAATTGCAACTAGTTTGTGGGAGACTTTGTGCCATGTTAAGAGATTTAGCCTTATCATGTATCCAGCAGGGATCTTTAAGTAGGGGAGAGACGTTACAAAATTTTATTCTTAGGAAAGGTTTTTGGCTACAATATGGAGAAATAGGAAGAGCTTTTTCGCAAGGGAATCATTTAAGAGATCGTTACAGCAGTCCAAGCAAAAAATGGTGTAGGCCTGCACTAAGGCAGGAGCAGTGGGACAATGGAGAAAAGGAGTCAGGTGTGGGACTTAGTGCCTGGCTGTTTGGGCCAGGTGGGGAGGGAGAAGGCAGTGAAGGATGTCAGAAATTTCTGGCTTCAAAAACTGGCTGGATAGTGATTCCATTCACAGAGATCAAGGCTAGTATATTTATAGTACAAGATAAACTTAGGTTGGTTGATATTATATTTGAGATCCCTTCAGGATTCTTGGCGTGTATATGTAAGAGATAAATGAAAATATACATCTGGAGTTCAGGAAGAGAGAAGCGGACAAGTGGCACATTTAGAATTGATTAGTTCATTATACCACTGAAGCTATGGTAGTGGAAGGAGATTTCCCAGGAAGAATGCAGAGTGTAAAGTAAAAAAGGAAGAATGAGAAAAGTAAGAAAACTAAACGTAGGGAGTGGTGTCCTGATCTCATGCAGTATGAAAGCACGAATTGGTTTTTAGGAAATTTGATATTTTACGTCTGGTCACTAACTGGATGCCTAGCCTTGCGACTTCCGGCTAACCTCGTAACTGCTCATGGCTTCCTCAGTTTACAGGTACAGGAAATGAAGAGGTTGGACTAGATTCTTTTGAGCTGTTAAATTATTTGACCTTGATTTTTATGACTATTGTGAATAATTATTAGTATTAAAACTTGAGGTTAATAGAACATTAAATTTCTCAAGTGTTCAATTGTCATATGTAATTATAGTGGCTTCAGTTCTGGCTTTTAAAAAATAATATGGTCAAAAGTATTCCAGATTTGCTCTTAGAGCTGTACCAAGAAGAATAAGAGAAGTTCTTGGAATATAAAGAACAGAAATATATAAGTTCCAAATAATCCAGTTTCAATACTTTTACTTTAAGGGAAAGGTATTTAACATTGATATAATACATGATTAGAGAAGCTCAAAGCCAAGTGGGAAACGGTACTGCTTGCTATTTTTGAAGCATCTCCCAGTGTATCTATTATTTAGTACTTTGAGGCATGCACATCCTTTTTTCAAAGCCTGAAGAAGTAAAACCAAACTTTGATTTTGTCTACTTTTAGAAATTCTTCATAGGTTAATGACTCATTCTTGGCACCAGCAGAATGCCTTAAATTGAACAAAGGCTGTTCAGACATAGTTGATCTTTGCTACTAAACAGCACATATCTCTGTATTTATTATCAAATATTGTACTTGTTGGTGGAGTTTGGTTTACCTCCAGTGTAGTGCATGTAATCTCAATTTAATTTGGACCAATAAGGCACATCCTGTCCTGAAACAGAACAGCTGTGTGGCCAAAATTCCTTGAGAAGATGGAAAAAAACAGGAAAGGAGAGGAACTCTGCCCCAGGGATATGTTTGAGCTTTCTTTGGGTCCATAAGTGAAAACTTAAACACTTTATGCCCAAACATTTTCTTTTTAGTATATTCCTATTCACAGACACTGTGGTTAATGAACTTCCATATTCTGTAACTTTTGTTTATAGGAACAAGGAAAAGTTTTGATCACTTGATATCAGACACAAAGGCTCCTAAAAGGCAAGAAATGGAATCAGGGATCACAACACCCCCCAAAATGAGGAGAGTAGCAGAAACTGATTATGAAATGGGTGAGAAACAAAGTTAATAATTAATCTAGATCATTGAAAGTAAGGAGGGAGAGTACATTAAAGCCATATTTGCTTTCCAGACATTTCTTAGTATCATTAGGATAAAATATAGAAACATTTGCTCTTTTTCAAAAGACAAAGACAAACTATACAGTCCTTAAAATGACAGATATCCTGAAACCTGTGTAGAAAGTAATCATACATATGATATACAACATTGTATACAGCTAGCCAGAACTTCTGTATAGGTGAATAGTAATTTTGTATGATATTTATGTTGATATTTTAAGTGTCTGTTAAAAAGCTATCAAATTTTAGAAGTGACATTAAAATCTGTTAGGTGAAGTAGTATCTAGTGTGTTATATTTGATTAATATAGCTGATTGTGTTAATCCATATCTTACCACAGAAACTCAAAGGATTTCCTCATCACAACAGCACCCACATTTACGTAAAGTTTCAGTGTCTGAATCAAATGTTCTCTTAGATGAAGAAGTACTTACCGATCCGAAGATCCAAGCACTTCTTCTTACTGTTCTGGTAATATTTTTTGCTTTTCGTGGGGTTTTTTTTTCCAGTCTACTCTTAGAAGGCCCTTAAATATTAAAAACATGAAAGGAAGGCCATATTCTGCTTCTCACCAAAACAGGTAACAATTCAGCCACAAAATAAAATGGTTTTTGTTTACTTTTTTGCAGGCTACGCTGGTGAAATACACCACGGATGAGTTTGATCAACGAATTCTTTATGAATACTTAGCAGAAGCTAGTGTTGTTTTCCCCAAAGTTTTTCCTGTTGTGTAAGTATCTCCACTTGTGTTTAACTTTTGTACCTGTCTTGAAGTCAGATGTTCATAAAAGCTTAGGGAAAGTGTCACCCAGTAGTGTTCACTGGTTGTGGAGAGGGGAATGTGAAGTAGTGGGATAGTGATTTTTAGCTTAGAGACAGTGGGTTTAATGGGACCTAGGACTAGTTTTGGCCTGTCGATCGGGAAAAACATTTTTTTTTTTTAAATTCAAACAGAAAGTCACAAAAACTATACTCATCCTCGTCAGTTCACTCAGCCCCATGTAATTAATTTTTTTTATCTTGATCTTTTGTGAGCAGTTTTATGAATTCATCAGTTTTGCATTAGTTCTGAAAATGCTTATTCATTCAGTTCAGCAGTGTAGTCAGTTACCAGAAACCTGTACTTGTCAGAGTGGGAAAAACATTTTTTTATCTTGTGATTTTCTTACGTTGTTCATTGTGATGAGCACTGTTTATTTCCTCACTTAGGAGAAAGCTGTTAGATTGCTATATTTAAATCAGCATACCTGTTCTGTTTTCTTTTTCAGTAAAGCTTTTGTTTTTAATCCACAGCTGAGTGAAAACAAAATTGACTTCTTATTTGGGAGATGACTTTTATTCTCTCTTAAGGGCTAAAATCATATTAGCCTCAAAGTGTTCAAATCTAGATAACCCAAAGAAACTTGGGAAACTCTATTCCTAATCTAGGCCTTCTATGTAGTATCATTATTTCTTTGTTTTTGTTTAATCTTATTTATAAATTTCAGAATTTTATATACGTGGCTCTTGGTTATTTTTATTAATGGGGCATAGCTGGGTTAGAAATAGTTAATTTCCTCAGAAGTTTGAATTTGATCATATATTCCACCCCCTCCAAGCTAATTTTGCTTTCCTCATTCGATCTGATTCAGCATTTATTAAACACTGATTAATATTAAATTTAGTTTTAACTCCTGGGTGCATATCAATAATCAGCAGAAAGAGATGGTCCTAAAGCACGCTAAGTGGCAGACAGAAGCCAACCTTGTCTTGAGCAAATAGTCACCATATATAGTTAAGCATGGTTATATGACAGTGCTAGTTAGGTGCTTTTACCATATTTTCCTAATGACTTAAACACAAAAGACAAAACAAAAAAGCAGATACACACGTTCATTAGAGAAAAATTGGAAAAGCACTCATCACCCTTCATTTTTATCATACTGTTCTAGGGAAAAATATTTTCCAGTATATATTTTCACTTAATTTTCCTTTAAAATGTTCCTCTGTTGACTTTTATTTTTTTAGGCACAATTTGTTGGACTCTAAGATCAACACCCTGTTGTCATTGTGCCAAGATCCAAATTTGTTAAATCCAATCCATGGGATTGTGCAAAGTGTGGTGTACCATGAAGAATCCCCACCACAGTACCAAACATCTTACCTGCAAAGTAAATAAACGTATCGGGAGGAGGATGGTTGATGAACTTCAAACATGTGTGCTATTAAAGGATGCACTGGCTGAAGAATTCCTTATGAGGAATAGGCTCGTTCACACCTCTCTAATATGCCATTTTCTGACTTTTAATTATGTGTTCAGTACAATAAGTGGTTGACAACTTTTTAACTAAAATATGGTTTTATACTGGGTATATTTTCAGTGAGTTTTAGTCTACTCTGACATTCTAAAAAAAAAATGTTTTCACTGTGTGTGTGGGTTTTATGTATCATCAACTATATAATTTCTGTTAAGACTGAAAGAGTGTCATGCTTGCTATAAGTAACATTTGATTTGTTGCAGGTTTTGGTTTTAATGGCCTATGGCGGTTTGCAGGACCCTTTTCAAAGGTAAGAAAATATCTTTTTCTCTATTGACAAAATGAAAGTTTTATTTATATTACTGTGCCTGCTTTAAGACAATATGTTGAAAACCAGAATGATTCACAAAAAACACATATGTTATTTTTATTAGAAGTTTTCTACCACAAGATTCTTTCCAAGAGGCAGCACCTTTAATATGTTTATATACTAGCTTTTACCAAAAAAAAAAAAAATTCAACTAAATTTATGCTTGACTTTTCAGAAACGTATGATAAACCTCTGTAAACTTTCTGCCCTCGGTCCCTCATGTAGTTGATGATCTTAATGCACACATTTAGGTATCTTGTGATTAGGAAGGAGCATTACGTATGTTTAAAATCTACCTCATGACCTGAACTTAATATAATGTTATATGTCAGTTAAACCTCAATTTTAAAAATTACATAATGAAAAAGAAATTTACCTCAAGAAAACATTCTTCCTTCCAACCTGCTGCATTAGATTCACTCTTCCCTGAATGTATCCTCATTTGCTCCATTCAGTTTGTTCTTTGATTGGCGTTAGTTGATATAGTGCTACATAAATGTGTATTTAATTATTCTCTCTGTATATGGTCTCTCTCCAAATTGATTGAGGTTCCTTGAAGGCAGGACTTCTTTTTCTTCCCCTAGTGCAGTGTTCTAGAGATAGCGGTGCTAAATCAATACGAATTGCATAAACCTTGTTCTAATTTTAACAATTGAGTACTTAGTTTTGTTTTGTTTAGTTATTACTGCATATCTCTTGATATGCAAAGGCTGTCATTTAAGAAATGGGCCTGAAGTCACAGAAATAAGTTTAATGCGGGAACTTTCGTAGTTTGAGTGCCAGTAACCCTCCGAGCCCTTCACAGTATTTAGTTAGTTGAATCTCTAAATGGCAGCTGGAATGATGCTCTGCTCATTTTCTCAGTTTTGGAAAGTAGACTAGACATCATTCCTGATGATTGGATTCTCTCAGAATTAATTCAGTCTTTGTGCATGGCCTTCGGTAATCACAGGTTCATCTGGAAGCTGTAAGTGTTAGCTGAATAAAATTCCCAGTTGTAAGTCCCATGGTAGTCTACATATTATTCCACCCCCCTTTTTTAATGACCTGTAGTACAAAGGAAGAAAAATAGTAAATTAAGCCCAAAACAAAAATTGAATTTATCTTTTTTGGCTTCAAGGGGGATTTACAAAAAAAGAAAAAAGAACAGAGCTAAAATAATGTCCTATTTTCCATTACAGCAAACACAAATCCCAGACTATGCTGAGCTTATTGTTAAGTTTCTTGATGCCTTGATTGACACGTATTTGCCTGGAATTGATGAAGAAACCAGTGAGGAGTCCCTCCTGACACCCACATCTCCTTATCCTCCTGCAGTGCAGAGCCAGCTTAGTATTACTGCTAACCTTAACCTTTCTAATTCCATGACCTCACTTGCAACTTCCCAGCATTCCCCAGGTCAGTAAATGCAATCTTTATATAAATTTGAGCAATAATATTACTATACCAACATTAGGAATTCCCTTGTTACCAGTTTATAGCAGATTTTGCTCCTTTTTATCATGAAATTCATCTTACATTTCTTCTTTACCTTGTAGCTGATTTGAATTTTGGTTTCTGTAAAGCTGTCTACTTTCAAACAGTTATACAAAGATAGTGAAATGTTTAGAGTGTTCCAAGGTTGATAAGTTTTTAGAGTTTAGGCAGGAAGAGTAACCTAAGGTATATAACCCTGTAAGTGAACAGAATTATAATTCCCTTACTAGATATACTAACCTTGCCCTAGTGTTTCTGTGTCTCTGATACAGCATACTGTATCCCAAAAATATACAAAATATAGTAGTGCCCCTTTTCCCTGCTGCCAGCAACAACCTGAAAGTCTAGGAGTAAATAAACAACCAGACAAAAATGCCAGCTCATAAAAATAACATCTTAAAGCCCATAAGCATATTCCTGACTCTGGAGTCACTCTTAGGTCCAAGTGGGGAAAGTATGCCCATTCAACATGCAACTAAGAGGCCGATAAACTGAGCAATAACAGCTAATAGCTCGGGTGGGGCTGAGATAAACAAGATGGCAGAAATGGCAAACGTACAGAACTCTGGGCTTATTCAGTGACAAAGCGGATGATTTCTTATGAGTCTGGTCAAACCCTGGAGGTGTATTCAATTCATTACAGAACTGACGCCATTGTGTATTTATGATGACCGTGGGTAATGAAGGAAAGCTTCCGTTGTGGTCATGTATTCTATTCAGAAAGATATCTTTCTAAAATGGTTAAAATTAAAAAGGTTTTGTGTTTAAAGTTTCATTATCTGAAAAATTTACTTATGAAACACCTCATGCTATAAGGAAAAGTTATTAATATTAGACGTAGTTAAGTGTTAGCATGGATTTTCTTTTAAAAAACCAAATGATGTATTATAACTATTTTGTCACGTTCAAGATCCATAAGTAGAATTCCCAGTTAATAATCTCAGTTTTGCATGAATGTTTAAACATATATAGTTTTGAAGGTTCTGAAGAACTTGGCAAATCTAATACCCAATTCATATTATAAACCATTGTATTAAATAACTATATTCATCTATTAAGCTTTGGTCAACAACAAAGCCTTGGTCAGCAGAGGAAACAAATTGTTTGATCCAGCATTTACTTATCAATCACCTTACTGCACCTAGTCAGGTTTTCTCCCCTCCCAAGAAATAAGAGAAATCTGGCCAACTTTTTTTCCCCATATAACTGTGTTTATTTGGCCTCTGTCACCTGTTCCCTAGAACAGTGTTTCTGCAAGTGTGGTCCCAGACCAGCAGCCTCAGCATCATTTAGGAGCTTATTAGAAATGCAAACGCTAGAATCCCACCCCAGACCTCCTGCACAAGAGACTCCAAGAGTGGGGCCCAGCCGGCAATCTGTGTTTAATAAACACCCAGGTGATTCTTATGCACTAGAGTGTGCCTATGATCTTGCCCCATTATCAGCATTTCAACTGTTAAAGCCAGGGCAAACCTTTAAGTTTACTTTCTTCTAGATACTGCAGCCACTGAATTCTTTCCCTCATCACCACTACCACCTGCCTCCCGCCATAAAATCTCAGCATTTTGGAGCTAGGGGGTACTATAGAGGTAATTTAGTTCTAGGCTCACAATGTTGTGTGTGAAGGGGAGACTGAGTTTAGAAGAGCTAAGTGAATTGCTTTATCACACAGTTCTTACCCAGAACCAAGGCCAGTGCTCTTTCTACCACATTCATTGCCTTCCGTATCTGTCATCTTTCTTCCTTCCCTTCCTCTTTTTGTTTCATTTATTTCTGTCTCATTACTTCCATCTGCCTTACCTTAAGTCCACTGCTCCTTTTCTTCTGTAGAGCTCTCAATCGTCTGGGTTAGTCAACCACTGAAGTTAATCACAATTAGAAAATTCGTAGACTGTCTATATTGATCCTCTTGTTTTGAAAGTTTGGTTCATTTTGACCAGTCTTTTGCCTCTTGGGCTACTAAAGTGATGTTAAAGCTGTCAAAATGTTTAGTTGTTTTTGCATTGACTTTTTTTTTTAACCCAAACTAATTGTCAGGGGTATTTCTGCCCATCTTTGCCCACTGATGGAGACAATAAAATAATCAGATTAAGAATAAAGGTACCAGTACAAGTTCTTCTGCTAGTTGATTAACTGTTCATGTCCTGTGTTGATTGGACATTAGCCATATCATTTGCTTAGAAAAGTAGTCCTACTCTGTAACCTCTTATTTAGAATTGTTTAGAGAAATCAAAGAATAGCGTACGTGGTTTTGGTTACAGTTTTAAACCTACTGTGTCACCTCCAGTAGTTCTCCAAAGATGGCTGCTTGAATAGATTATAACACCCTGGAAACCTCTGACTGTTCTCAAAAGAAACTGAAGCTTTAAAAGAGTACAATTAATTAAGTAGAATAACGGTGTTTTTCTGTCTCTAAATTGTATGTCCTTTGGTTCACCAGATTATTTTACTACATGTTACTAGAGAAAGAGTTTACCTTTTCATTAGTAACTTTACTCTTCGATGAAACCCATTTGTATCTCTAAACTGTGGGCTCATCTCCATGAAAGGATCCTGATTTATTTGTTTACCTAATTATTGTGTTTTTGTCATTTGCTCTTAGGGAATACCTCTTACAAGAGTTAATACTTTGTAACTAGGTATGCTGTTTTATATCTTTAGCTCCTTGTAATCTTACATCCCTATCTCCTCAATTCTTTGTGGATCTGAGTTTGCTGATAACAAAGGGCTAAAAGAAGTGATGAATCTAATCCAGATTCATAACTCACTCCAGCATTTCGGCTTCGCTATTTGGTTGTATAGAAACCAGAATATTTCCCTGTCTCCACTTCCGTCAGCCAAGTCTTAAGCAGAAGTATTTAAAGAAGCCCTGTGTCACTCCCTGAAATGGAGCATAAGTGTGGCTTGCCATCAAATTACCCAACATCAACCTGCGCTAGTCTACTGAATTTTAAACAGGTGAAAGCTCTGTTTCTTTATGTCAAAAAGCAAAAGTTGCTGATCTGCACACAGCTCAAGGCTTTGCTTCAAACTTTCTCTGTCAGTGCAAGACTTTGCTTTCTAGATCTTTGGTACTTAGCAGGATCTGCCACTAAGCTGTATCTTCTTTTGGTCTCCAATATTCTCTACTGTCAAATTAGCTAGATAAGAAATTCATGAACCCCCTCGCCCTCCCCCATGAAACACTAAACCTTACTTAGGTAAAAATTTCGGTGATAATTCATCAGTCACCAGCTTTTGAGGAAGTAGCGGTCATTTACATAAAGCGGTTGTCTCTGAAAATCCATTCTTGACAGATGATCATAGCCCACTTGTCTATCCCCTTAGCACAAGAAGGATTGTTTTATAACTCCGTGTATAAAATTACATAAATGACTGTCTTCTGACCCCACTCCTAGTAGAAATTGACTTGGTATCAGTGGAGCCAATGGACTGTACTCAGAGTTCAGTGCATATGAAATTGTGTTAACTGTGGTCCTTTTAGCCAAATGGACATAAAACTTTGTCTCTTCAGATTTTCCCACATGCCACTATGAGAATCTTGAAGAGAATCCATAATATTTACTCTCTGATAAATAAGAATATTTCAAATTTGATATTGCGATCCATTCTTAGGTCCAGTGTAGCTGAGCTGGACATGAATTGAAGAACCAGGATTAGAACTAGAAAATAAAACCTATCTACTAAAAATGCTACATATGGGACTTTCTCGTGCTTAAGGCCAAGCCATAAAAGGCTCTCTTACAGGATGAGCAAAGAAGCCTTTTTAAAAGCCATATTGTGAGTGCTTTATAACCATTTCAAGTATGCATTCCAAATAGTCTTCCTGTATCCTCTTTAGATATTAAGGAGCAAGTATACTACAAATAAAAATCCAGATGGAATTATATGGATTTTAGTATACTCATTAGAAAGAAATTAAATCGGTTCATTTCCAATGTATTAAAATGTAATTTATACTCTACCGAGACCTCCTGATATTTTTCACACTGTAATTTAATTCAGTAAACATTCGGACACCTATTTTGTAGGTATACACTAGGTACTCTGGAACATTTAAAGATGAGAGAGACCCTGGTCCCCAGACACTTGACAGTTTTTGCCTATGGATCTCAGTATTCGGTTTCAGCTAAAGTTGTTATTTCCTTCTGAGTCATGTTGTTTAACAAGTTCTTTGTGTACACAAGTTCTTTGATTTTTAGGTACGAGATTAATACTACAATGCTCTGAAGAAAATAACCCGATATCCAGATTTTATCTTGAATTATCCCAGATATTCATTGTTTACTACATGCAAGGCACTCTGTTAGACCCAAGGGAGTGGCGGGGGCTACTAGGACATGAGACCTGCCCTCAAATAGATTTCAGAACAGTAAGAGTGGCAAAGTATACACAGATAACTATTTTGCCCTCTTTCGTGATCTCTTTTGTACTTATGTTGTACCTTATACTATAAACTATTCTGATCATTCAAAGGGACATCTGTTCGGAAAAATCAAGTAATAATTATGGCAAAAGTTTTATAATATATCTTTGACCTCAAAAATATGTGAGGTCACATATTTTATAATTTTTTAACAAAAATAAGCCTGTGATCTATTTTAAATGTCTTTTCACTTGGAAAAAAAAACTTTCATTTTTTTCTTTGATCACCTTATTTTACTGTTAGTATTAGAGTATGGATTTTTTAGAGCAAGGACCTATTTAGTTGAACTTTATTTTAAATTCACTTCTTTCACTTTATTTTGGGGCTATGTCCAGGCCTGTCAGTTATTCAGTCACTTTGCTTCTGTAATGCAGACCTCCCTCCCAGGAAGCCGGGTGGATCGGCTAGCCCAGTAGTGCTGACAGCTGTGTGCAGAAAAGGTTAGTTTATCAAAACCATTTCTCCAAAGGGTAGACTTAGTCACACTTCTGCTGTGTTTACCAGGTTTAAAACGTCTCCCTCTTAGAAGAAACTTAGAGGCCTCTATTTTGAGACTACTTAAAATCTCCAAAACAATTTTAATGTTTTAGGGAACTGCTTACCGTATCCCAGACCTTTATTTGGTATATTCTTGATTTAGTTTTCCCTCTTTTTTCTTTGTTATTACACCGTATTTAAGGGAGAAAAATAATTTTAAGCTGAGCAATTGCTTGGTGTAATTTCTGCTAATTTTCCATTTCATTTTTTATTGTAATTCTTGATTTACACTAAAATTCTTACTTCTAATAAAGGTGGTAAAAACACATCTATCTGTAAAATTGTAAGTTCGGCCATTTATTTAGAGATTGTAACGTTTGGGAAATTAATGGTCAGACTTCAGTAATTAAAACAAGAATCCTCCTGAAAACCAAGGAAAATAATAATTATCCAGTATCTAATCATATTTCAGCCTTTAAAAATCTTACAGATATCACTCACTTTTGTTTTTTCTTCCATTCTGTGTCTGTGAAGCTTCTCTGCCTTGCTCTAAATCAGCAGTTTTCATGCAGCTGTTGCCTCATCAAGGTACTCTTTACTTTTGTCATCTTTGCACGAAATACTGCTTACCCTGCGCTCATCCTGGGCACATGGCATGAGACTTCATTCACCAATCCCTGTAAGCAGAGTCTGGTTCAGGCACCTAAAGAATCTGTAAGGCCATTACTGTAAGGTCTGGATGCTTACGGTGCCACAGGGCTGAGACTTGTCTCGATGAAAGAGCTGTTCATGCTCCCCCTGAACACTGAAGATGCAGTCCCAGCCCTGGACTAACACAGGCAGGTTAACAAGAAACTCCAGGGAGAGTTAATAGAGAAAGGAGGGTATGTGGTTTGGGGAAGAGTTTTTAGCTTAGGAAGTAGTTATTTTCCCCAAATATAAATACAAAGCCAACCCCAGCATTTCTGTAGAAATTAAAGCTGGCTGTCCACTCTTGTCACCCGTGTTCAAAAGAAAGGAATATGGGGCTGCCCTGGTGGCGCAGTGGTTGAGAGTCCGCCTGCCAATGCCGGGGACACGGGTTCGTGCCCCGGTCTGGGAAGATCCCACATGCCGCGGAGCGGCTGGGCCCGTGAGCCATGGCCGCTGAGCCTGCGTGTCCGGAGCCTGTGCTCCGCAACGGGAGAGGCCACAGCAGTGAGAGGCCTGTGTACCGAAAAAAAAAAAAAAAAAAAAAAAAGAGAGAAAGGAATGTGGTCCTTAGTTAGCTCAAAGGACTAAGAAGAAAAAAATGTGATACACTTATGTCTAATTTATAAAAGATGCCTTTTCTTTCTTTTACTTTTCGGTGATTAGTATACAGAAAGATTAGACCTGTATAGAAAAAGAGGTGTTAGCAATTGATGAAAGACCATTACAAATATTTTTTAAATTCTTATAGTTACTCTTTTGTATATCTAGCTCAAAATATGAATTTTCTAAATATATATTTAACACATTCCCATCAATGTATTACTATAGCATAAGAACAAGCTATAGTTATCTTTCCTTCTAAGAAGACATATTTCTTGCTTATTTACATTAGCGTCAGTAATTTTACAAATTCTAGTATAAAATTCGAGTCCTTTGCGTTTGTTCTACAATTCCTTTCAGTACTTCACTTGGTCTTTTTTTTTTTTTCAGGTATTAGGAGCATCTTAATTTATGCTGTAATTATCTGTGTGCAAAAAGTCTTCACCTAGCCTATCTGATTCTTCTAACAATCCTTTGAAATAGGCACGTCTACTGTTATTTTTAATTGCCAGATTAAGAACTGAAACCAAATAAGAGTTCTGATCCAAACAGACTGGAACCTGGGTCTTCTGATGTGCCTCACTGTATGTGTAACAAATGAGCCTTCTGACAGCTTTGTCTTCTCATAGATGCAATCAGAGTTTTCCGACAGGTTTGCCATATGATATATGTGATAAACTAAGCAATGCAGATTCAGGGAACTTACTGTCGCCTTGTGCAGGTGGTGGGAGGTTTGGATTATTATATGTTTCATTTTTGTTGAATAACTTCTCACAAATCACCTAACCCATTTTTCCTCAGCTTCTCAAGAGCTAAAAGGGATTCGATCCTTTTATTATTTCATGAAAATATTAGGTTCCAGTTTGAGAAATCATTTTGGTGTTTAAAAAAATAGGTGACTTTTTAAAAATTATTTGTCAGCCTGGAACTATATCCCTAGTTGTCAAAATAAACCCTGATACCTGCCTTCAAGGAACTCATGTTTGAGCAGAGGAGATAGACATATAATAGATATGTAAGTTATTTATATATGTTATTTAACTATAGTGTAATCTAATAATTTTTTTCCCTCTTAATTCACTGAATTTTGGCCAGTAACACCTTTTATTTAGGATTTTATCTTTATCTGGAACCACCACAGTTCACTGAAGCACAGTGCTTATTCATACACTGCTGTAGAGAACCTTCAGCTGCTTCTGCCCTGCATGTTGTTTGTAACTGGCTGCATGCTTAACCACAGCATATCTAAAGGAACTTAAACTAGCAAGTCAGGACCACAGAGGTTTTTACCTTTATTTCGCTTGGGTGGTGGCCTTTGGATTTCTGTCACCTCATGGATTTCTGCTTTTGTGCCCACTGAGAGTCAGAAGGGAAAGCCAGTGCTTAGGGGCATAAGAGAGACCAGGATGCAAAGCCTCCAAGCGGCCTTGATGAGCAGGAGTGCAGCACCAAGGTCTGCTCACCAATTTAAAATATAGTATATGTACCAAAGCAAGATGGATCTGTCTCCAATTGGGCAGTCAGGCTGATAATCTGAGAGTTTTTCCTATAGAATGTTGAGACCAAACCCTTCACTACATTCTAAAAAGGTTTCTAGATTTATTTTCAGAGGGTTAAAAAGAAGAATGCTGCCAAAATTCTCAAAAGTGAGAATTATGCTTAGAAACCAGGATACTGGCATCATTCTGTTTCATACTAACCTGGCTTTTTTCAAGGTGCTATTTCTTGGTATAAATATAATGCTTTTTTAAAAAACCTCCAAGATTTTTATGTCAGCTTCTCCTTAGATCCTTAAATAAAACACCTTTGCTGTGAAGTTGAACTTAGGAATCACCATCATGCCACATTTACCTGTGTGTGACTTGTAGGGTTGGGTCACTAAGTAGGAAGAAAACATATACACAAAAACAGGTAATGAATTGAGATGAAAACTGAGTAAAAGTGGGACATCAGCCTCTCACATAGCATTGAAGCTTTGGGTTATCAGTGACAGTCCTGGTTACTTGCTTAACAAAACAGGAAATGGAATATTCTTAGTATGTCTTTGAAGAAAAACCTTCACCCTAGTGACTTACTCTGATTATAATTTATATAATTTTAATTCTTAAGAATTAAACTGAACAGGCCCTTGTCCTCAGATAGTAGCTTTGCCACCTTGCAGTGTGATGACTGCTCTGCCCCCCCACCCCCAGAATGAGCCATAGTCCAGCAGTGGCAAGGCTGCACCAAAGGTGGTCACACAAGAAAGAGCCCCGGAGTGGCAGATTGCTGGCAGAGGGCCACTGGCCCTCCAGTGGTCATCAACACTGTGTCCCTCCTGGTGACCGTCCCCTGGTTGTTTCAAACCCTTATCTTTAAAGTTCTAGTTTTGCCCGAATCTTATTTCCTATTAAGGAAATAAACTTAGATAAGGAACTATTGGACTTGAACTTTTAGGCCACATGCAAATTTGAGGAAATGGAAAGTCAAATACTCAGACAAGTTCATGATCACTTCAGATGGAAGAAGCTAAAAAAAACTGTCTTTTCCAATAAAAATATGGCGCCACCCCACTGGAGATCAGAGGTTGCATGCTTTTTGGCTCTGAATTGCAGCCATCACATTTAAAAATGGAAACATCGGTTCAACCAATGTTTGTTGAAAAAGACGTCAACTAGATCTTATAGGAAAATAAAAATGCATGATAAACGATCTTTGCCCTTCTAGTTGCTTTTATTCTAGTAGAGAAAATATGACATATACACAAGTTGTGATAATATAGGCAAAATATAAATGCCATATAAAAACAGGCAGAAGGGGCTTCCCTGGTGGCGCACTGGTTGAGAGTCCACCTGCCGATGCAGGGGACACGGATTCGTGCCCCGGTCCGGGAAGATCCCACATGCCGCGGAGCGGCTGGGCCCATGAGCCGTGGCCGCTGGGCCTGCGCGTCCGGAGCCTGTACTCCGCAACAGGAGAGGCCACGGCAGTGAGAGGCCCGTGTACCGCAAAAAAAAAAAAAAAAAAAAAGAGAGAAAAAATACGGGTTGCATTTTATCTTGTAGAGATTGGTAAAGCAATTGAAAGAGCTACACAGATACACATTACAGAGTTCAAGGCACATTCAAGGGATGATGAGCAGTCTCCTTTCAATTTTGTTATTTCTTTTCTAAATAGCTCTGGAGAAGATGCAAATAAATATGCAGAAGAGAATAAAAATCATCCAGAATTCTGCTACCCAGAGAAAAGTTCTTTGAACATCACAGTGTACTTTCTTCCGTTTATCTTTCTACCCGTAGGATTAGATTGGAACAGATTCAAGAGTGGGTTCACTATGCTTGCCTCCTGGAGAGGTGTTGCTGACATTTTTAATGACGCACTCACACTCCCAGCCCAGTGCACTTTGTCATATGCCAGTGTTCCTTTGATAAGCTCAAGACAGCAAACCTCTGTGGAGCCTGTGTAAACCAGACCATGTGCCTGTAGATGCCTCATACGCTGAGTTGAATTCAAGGCTGAATCCAAACAAAGATGTGTGGCTCCTAGAAGGAGGTCATCACAGATCCATTTCCTGTTCAAGAACCAACAAACAAATAGATGTGTGGGTCTATGTACATCTTCAGTAACGTAAATACTTTTTGACTTGACGTACTATTTTTTGTCCAAAAATAGAAATTTTTCCATTGTCAAATTTACTATTTTAAAATTCAGATGGTACAGATAAGAATAAAGCAGGGAATTCCCTGGTGGTCCAGTGGTTAGGACTCCACGCTTCCGTTGCAAGGGGCATGGGTTCAGGGAACTAATGTTCTGCAAGGCGTGTGGCTCAGCCAAAAAAAAAAAAAAAAAAAGAATAAAGTAAAAATTACCTGAAATCACACCATCCAGAGATAACATTTTTTGGCAAATGTTTTCCCAGCCTTTTTGTTTATTTTCCCCTGTATGTGGATTTTTTTCCCCCTAATCCAAAATTATGGTCATTTTTCTGTATCTGTAAATATCAATCAGTACTTTACATTTTGATACAAATTGCTAAAATACTTTTTGTTTTCCTACCAGTACTTATGTCAAAGGTGGGTATAATCGGTCTAATTATTTTAGTAAATTTTATTCAAGTATGGCAGAAAAGCACACAGATTATAAATTTACAACCTAATGAACTTTTAAGAAGTAAACATACTTAAAAATCCAGATCAAGAAACAACATCGCCAGCACCCCAAGAAACCATCCTCATGCCCCCTTCCAGTCACTTCTTCCCCAGAGGTAACCACTATTCTGTTACCTGTCGAATTTGTAATCTTTACTAATCTGATGAGTAAAAAATAGCTTGTTTTTGCTTCTAGTTACTTTTATGAAGTTACTAATTAGATGATTTATAAAAATACATTGTAGGGCCCAGTTTGGGGGGGTTTAATCTCCTCCATGAGAGAAATAAATGGCATCTGGTTGAACAAAAAATGACTTGCCAGAGTTAAAAAGAAGATCAAAGCAGAAATTCTACAGTATGACCTTTTTGGTATATTATTTTCTCAGTAAATATTTGAGTTCCTTTGGGGTAGGCACTATGATTTAAAAAATAAAAAGCATCTGCCTTTCTTTGAAATGATGAATTTCTGTACCTTCTGCAACTGCAGAATGTATTCTGTGTTTAAAACACCAGTAAGGCTACGTGGCTAGAAGCTGACCTCTGCTGGAAGCTTCTGTTTTGATTTGGAGGAAGGCGTTCTAGTCTTTGGTGGCTGCTAGCCTTTCATTCAGCTCAATCCTGCCTGCCTCTAGCTTTTCCTTGCAACTTCTCTGTTTTGTTTTTTTCTTTTCCTTATGCTATTTTTCTGCCATGATAGCAAATTTTGCTTAACAAAGTGTGAGGTTTTCTGTGTGACAAGATCTTTGTAAACACTCTAGCAACTGACTATTAAAATGAATGCAAAAACAATACACCAGCTTGTATCTCGTATACAAATCGTGAGATTCAGTCCTGGAGCTCAACACCACAGGAGAGGGGGTAACTGGCTGCTCTGTTTCTCTCCAGGAATCGACAAGGAGAATGTTGAACTCTCCCCTACCACTGGGCACTGTAACAGTGGGCGAACTCGTCATGGATCCGCAAGCCAGGTGCAGAAGCAAAGAAGCGCTGGCAGTTTCAAACGTAATAGCATTAAGAAGATCGTGTGAAGCTTTCTTTCTTTCCGTTTTCAAACAGACTTAACTTATACGGGCTCTTCACTAGTGACCCCTCACCACCGTGCTGTGATGCTGCACTTCATGTTTTATAATGAGCCCATCCAGTCTGCCATGTTGCCAGATGATCAACTCTTGGAAGCGTTGCCTAAATTTAATGCTGCTTTTTTCTTTAACTTTTTTTTCTTCTACTTTTGGTTTGTCTGGTTTAAGCAAGTGTTCAGAACAACTGCAAAGAAAGTGGGAGGTCAGGACACTTGAACTGAGAACATCCCAATTGTGAGAGAGGATGATTTCTTGAATACTGCTACTACTGGCCAGCTATGAAAGCCATTTGCACAGAGCTCTGCCTTCTATGTTTTCCCCTTCTTCAACATACAAAGTAAAGTGTTAGTCTTATTTACACACTTTTCAAGATAGAAGTTAATGGGAGAAATAATAATATAACCCCAGTATGTTTAATCTGACTTTTAGCTGTGGACTTTTTTTTACCTTACAAAACTGAAGAACCATAGAGGTCAAGCCTCAGTGACTTCATACCATAAAGCCACAGGCGAGGTACTTTGGGGGGTGGGGGAGGAGGGATTTAGTATTTTGTAGTGGGTTCTTAAGAAGTACTAACACTTGAGTATTAGCAATAATTACAGGAAAATAAGCGTAACCACATGTATCTTAACATTACTGAATTAAAGAGATGAGTTCTGAGGCCTTATCCAAACTCAGTCATCCAAACTAGTTTATATTTTTCTCCAGTTGATTATCTTTTAATCTTTAACTATGCTAAAAGTCGTTTTTTGTTTTTGTAAGCCAAAACTATACTAAGTATAGTAATTATACATTTTTCCCCTCCTCTTCTTCTTTCCTAAATAATTCCGAGCAGGGTAATCAGTGAACAGAGTGTTGCAAATTGTTCCTAGGAGGTAATTTCCGTAGATGGTTGCATTAGCTCCATACAAAATGGAATGGTACGTAACTATTAGAGTAGACGATGCTTTTATCTTGTTTAATAATTTTCCCAGAAACATAGAGTGTGGTGTATATTATCAAAAATTTTTTGATGAGATGTATTTTAAATGTCTTGTAATCTTTCCTCTCCCCTCCAAAAAAGTCAGGAATCTCTTTAGCAAAAACATTTGGGCTCTATATGATAGAATTGCATTTAATCACTGTGAAAAGACTGGTCAACCTGCATTATTATGACAATAGGGGACCTTAAGAGTTGCTGCTATACTGAATGGTATGGATTATCATGGCATTGGAATTTCCATAGTAATGCAGATCCAATTTCTTTGTGGTACCTGCAGTGTGCAAAATAATTTGACTTCAGTGAATATATTAGTATCTGGATGTTCCAATTTAGGACTAAACCATATTTATTACAAGAAGATATTATCCCCCTATTCCTGGGTTCCCTTTATATGTTAAGGTGTAATGGCTTTGGGAGAGAAGAAGAAACCTAGGGGAGGGGGAGTTTCCTGAAGTGCTATTTCATGAGTGGATTTCAGTAAATTAAATTCCACAGCTAAATCAATGGTACATTTAAATGTTCTGATTTTAATAATATAACACATTTCACATTTATCCACACAGTAACAATGTAATATGTTAATGTAAATAAAATTGCTTTTGATATTCAGAAATAACAAGAATTTAATTTTTTTAATTTGTTTACAGTCCTGGGAAAAGTAAGAACCGTTAGCCAAAATGAAAAAAACTTTAGTGTTAATAGTTATTTTGACACTGAATTGTTGGAAAATATTGAAGACAGGTGCAATTAACTAAACTTTTGTTTTTAACTATTGTAGACGCTTCATTAGAATAGAATGTTTATAATAACAGAGCAACTGAGACGATAAGGAATTAAGACTAGAGCTGAGTTTAGAAACAGATCATTAACAGCCCGGTGCCAAGGATGCCAAGCTGCTGGTAAGGTCCACGTTCCCCCACACCCCAGAGCTTCTGGGATGGGCATCACAACTTCCTGGCTCCTGGAATAAAAGGCAGATGCGAGCCTTTAATCATTTTGGTTCCATGTTTTTCCCTCTTTGTTGTTGGTTTGGTGCAATGACAGTGGGTAGTGTTATGCTATTTTGCTTCTCCTATCAAAATAGAGGAACTTCCAAAGGTTTACCGTTAAAAATACTGATCTTTCCATAAACAAGTTTTCCAAGGTATGCTATGTCTTAAATTTATTCATTATTTCCCTCTAGTGTAATGAATGGATGAATTCACTTGAAGTACCTCATGAAATTAATGATCTGCATTGCACAAATCAAAATTGAGCCTTCTTTGAATTGCAAAAATACTTTTTACCAGTATATCCTGGGAATTTGAAAACTTATTAAGGTTTAAGATTTACCTTGTTTGAAGAACTTCTGCCTTTTGAGGAAAATCCAGCTTTCCAAGAAACTGAAATGCACATGAGATAAATCTCTCACCAGTATGCTTCCTCTGAGAAATGAAACTGTTTTTTAGGCCTCATACTTATAACCTGCACAAGAAATTCTGACGTTCATAGTAGGTTGCCTATTTTGCATAATTGGATGTAAGTTCTATAAAGTAATTTGTTTGGGGTTTGTGGGTGTTTCCCCTGACTTTTTAAAAAGGAAAACATTAACTCACTGTGTTTTTTGGCATGCATGATCTCCCTGTTTTATCACTGCCCTGTCCCAGGGGTGTGCCCTTGTTTGCCAGCACCGAGACCCAGTTCACTAGCTTTGGGGGGAAGTGGCAAGTGCTCTGTCCTGCATCCACTCAGCACCTGTCCGTTAACTGGGTGCCGGCTCTGTGCAGGTCCTGGGCCAGGGCTGAGGGCACCACAGAGAACAGCCGGCTGCCACCGCCATGAACGGATGTCCTGGGGGAGACAGAATGTAAGCCGGCAACCCTCCCTGCTCAGTGGGTTTTAGGGGTTTTCAGTTTTCTTTTGGCTTTTCTGGTTTTTTTGGTTTTGTTTTTACATCCCACCCCCAACCCAGGCATAATGAGGCATGTCTTATTCAATGTTATGCAATGGACTTATACAAAAATTCACTCCTAGTGTCAGCCACACAGTTTTTTTTAATGCAGTATATTCACCTGTAAATAGTTTGTGTAAAATTTGACAGAAAAGTATATTTACTACACTGTAAATACCTGTGATGATATATTGTATTATTTTGCTTTTTTGTAAAGCAGTTAGTTGCTGTACATGGATAACAAACAAAAATTTGATTATTCTCGTGTTAGTACTGTTAACTTCTTCCTGCGACTGCGTTACATCATTTAAAGAAAATGCTGTGTATTGTAAACTTACATTGTGTATGATAACTTCCTCTCTTTTCCATTCAGGCCCAAACTTTGGCAGTTCCCTTGTCTACAACCTCGTTAATATTGTAAGCAGTTGTACGCCAGCAGGAGAAATACTGCCCAACAGACAAAATCTACCATTGTAGGGGAAACTGTAGAAATCCATTTCAGATCATTGTTGTTCCCGTCCCATTTTCCTCCCTGTGTATGTACTCCTCCCCTTTTTTTTAAGTAAAATGTAAATTCAATCTGCTCTAAGATGTGGGGAGTTATTTCTTCACATGCATCAGCTCTGTTTTCTCACTTCCCCGCACTCCTCCCTGATCTTTTGGAACATTAAGGCCATTTCCTTTCTTTTAAGGATGTCTTAGGTTCTCCTCAAACCACCATCACTACCCCCGCACCATGGGAAGGACCTTTCTATTTCCAGAACCTCTCTAAACAAAAGGTAAAATAATTTTGGTGAAATGTGTAGGGGAGAAAAAAGTTTCCCTTGAGCCTCCTAGGGTCTCTGGCTGAGTCTGAAAATTAAACTGATAAATTAATAGGAGAAAAGCACACACATTTATTTAATACAAATTTTACATGACACAGGAGCCTTCAAAAAGAGATGAGAAGACCCCAAAAATCAGTTAGGCCTGAGTATTTCTATCCTAGGTTTGATGAAGAGTGAGCATTTGTGTAAAAATCTGATAGGCCAAAGACTATGAGGTAAGTGTGGTGAAGTGGGGGAAACCTAGCAAGGCCTGTTCCAATTTTCGAAGTCCCTCTGTCTTGTCTTCAGAGATAAGGATGCTCCTTTCCTCCGGGGTTAGGGAGGGCGCCTCTCAAGTGAAGGTTTTATGACCTGTTTTCAGGAGACGATGGCAGGGGAAAGGTCAGAGAAACCTTCCTGCTTCTGCCATTTCCTCAAGCTCCTTCAAGGTGCCATATTTTGAGGTCATATGTCCCGAACCCCATCAAATACTTCTTTAGGGCCTGCCAAACTGAGGGGTGACTCTGTTCTCTGGGTTAAGGTGACTTCAGTTCTTTTAAAATGAGCAGTCAGAAATGCCAGGACACCCCGAGATCAACCAAAGGGCATATATTAGGAGCCCACAATTCTCTCCAGCTCTCAGCTCTCCCCAACAGAACCTTCCCGGGCACGGCATGTGTAAACACTGTCAGACGCTTTCCATGGCTCCACTGCTGGGAGTTTTACCATTTTCTTTACCCCATTATGTGGGCAGCTCCCAGATGGAGAAAGAATGCAGCCTAGACCCTGTGGGCAGGACAGAGCTGATGCCTACGAGGGCAACAGCGTCTGGTATGTTAGACAAAGGGCTAAAAACCATGAAGCAGACACCTGCAGGGCTGAGGCAAGTGCTGGTCTGTTTACGGAAAGACTGAGAAAGCAGAGGAAACTCACCTGGAGAGCTTGTCAGCACTCTGGGCTCTGGGCCAGACCTCCGAGGCAGAGCGTGCATACTCTCCAGGGGTGGGGTCCTGGGAGGGAGGGAAAGAGCGAGCCTGTGGGGGGGTGTTGGTGTGGCTGTAAAGCTTCAGGGGAGTTCTCTGGGCACCAGACTTAAAGACCGCTGAAAATTCAAGTACAGTTGACCTTTGAACAGTGGAGTTTGAACTGCAAGGGTCCACTTACACACAGATGTTTTTCAGTAGTAAATAATACAGTGCTTCACGGTCCGTGGTTGGTTGAATTCAGGGATGCAGAGGGGACCGACTATAAATTATACACCACCTTGTTCAAGGGTCACCTATACTGCAAATAGCTATCTTTTCCCTCCAGGCTAAAGTATCATAAAGTAGGGGTGCCTTTGGGTGATCACCTCTCCATCTCTGGACAGTGAGCGAGCTCCTTGAGAACACTGACAATATCACCCACTTTACAGGCCCCTGTGCCCATTTTTGCCTGCACAGTTTTGCTTTCTGGGACAGTCCAGGCTAGTCTGGCAATTTTGAACTGTCTGGCCAGAAAAGTTTATTCCCAAGGGGGTTTGGGTAGGGCGGAAACATGCTGGAAGAATAGTAAAAACTTAACCTACAACAAAGAGGTAGCCTCGCAGTGTTCCTTTTTCCAGAAAAAAGCAGCCCATCCCTCACCCCCATGCCCCAAGTGGTGGCCAGCATCTGTAACACTTGCCCTCACCGCCTCGTTCTCCCTTGATTTCTATCCGTGAGACTTAGCCTGCACGCTGCACGCCAGAACGCACAGCGGCATCCAAACTCCCTCGAGGGCAGTTGCCCCGAGTAACATGCCAGGCCTGTCTTCATTAGAGAGTCAGTCTTCTTACTGAAGTAAGTTCCACTTAAGACCCTTTTAGCTGCCAATTGAAAAGAAGCCGTTTCACAATGTTGATTATGTTTCTGTAAATATTAGGCCACACTACAGCAACGTAGTCCCCGTTTGTTTGACTCTCTCACACTTTGTTCTTTTAAAAGTACTCGCTAATGGTAAGTGGATATTTCATAATGTTAATGTGGAATTGTAATTTTAGTAGATTTGGCTTTTTTTAAAGTACCTTCTAAAAATCCATTTATATCTTGTAATATGTACATGTGTACATACACCACATGTATGTATATATGCATATTTAAAATTTCCAAAGACGCATCATATATTTAAATGGGGCCAAACTTTTCTAGGTCCTTTACCATGTGTTTATGCTGTGAGTCAAGCTAGTCACGATAAAGAGAATCCTGTGGGGTTACAGAGTTCAGAACATCCCCCATGGGGGCCACTTCCTCCATATAAAATAGGAAAGTCACATCGGAATCTTAATAGGGCCCCTTCCTGATCAGAGGTTCAGAGAGCGTTCCCCAACTTAAATATGTTTACACAAAGAAAATGTCAACAGAGGTAACCTCATCTGATTCATTTGTTCAAAGAAATGTTTTCAGTTACTATAATTGTGCCAAGCCCTTTGCCAGGCATTGCAGATGCCAAAAAAGAAGAAAGCTTGGTCTCTGCCCTACGCGAGATCACAGTTTAGTGGGGGAAACAGCCACGTAACCAGTGAGCACAGTGTCCAAGGTGCGGACCAGTGACTGGCAGCTTCGATGCCTGAGGAGTTGGGTCCTGAAAAATGACCAAGAAGTGTGTCCAGATGGGTATGTCCACTGAGCAGTTGAAAATAGGATTATGGAGTCTTGAATGTATAGGGGGTACCTGAGGCTGGGGGTGACCTGGCCCAGAGAGCACATGTAGCATCCAGGCAGAAATGCATCCGGGCAGAAAGCAGTGTACCAGAGAGGAAACTGGCTCGTTCTGTTCTTATTTTCCTCCTTTCGTCCCACTTTGGGAAATGTGCCCTGATTTTGTACATTTAAAAACTCCATGAAGAAAAAAAAAAAAAAAACTCCATGAAGGCATGCCTTAGCCCCAGAGAGCAAAAATAAGGGTACTCTCTATCTTTGAGTCTGGCCCAAAGGCAAAAGAGGATGAGAAATAGATGGCGAGGGATGCTCCCTCACCAACTTGATAATTTGCGGATGGAAGGCAGAAAGGAATTAGGTCGTGTATGCCTTAAGCAAAAACAGTACCACCACTCGCCATATACTCATGTCTAGGATTCTACAGGAGGCCAAAAAAAATTTTTTTTCATTAAAATACTGAGTCTTGGGCTTCTGTGGTGGCGCAGTGGTTGAGAGTCCGCCTGCCAATGCAGGGGACACGGGTTCGTGCCCCGGTCTGGGAAGATCCCACATGCCGTGGAGCGGCTGGGCCCGTGAGCCATGGCCACTGAGCCTGCGCGTCCGGAGCCTGTGCTCCGCAACGGGAGAGGCCACAACAGTGAGAGGCCCGCGTACCGCAAAAAAAAAAAAAAAGTCTTTTTAAGCTTACAGCAGTCATTCATTCATCCATCAGACATTTATTGGGCCCCTTGTTTTCAGTGAACTCCAGCTTCAGCACCTCTTGGAAATGCTCTCTGTTCTCCCATGGGCTGCACTGAGAGCCTTTCTCTTGGTCCTGTAACAGCTCGTTACAAGGTTGTGATCATCAACTGTTCCTGTCTCCCTGGTTAGACTCTGGGCCTCCAAATACAGGGACTATGCCTTGTTCAAGGAGCTGGATAGATGGTTGTTGAATAACACCTAAGGCTCTATGCTATCAGGAAAACTATACAAATAGAATAGAAAAAAAAGACCCCGTTCACAACATCAAAAATCCCTACCAAAATGGAGATGGCCTGTGTAATAAAGACCTGTTGAAAACGAATCCAGACTTTGAGATTTCACACATCAGGAAAGTTTCGAAAATGTATTTTGTCAATTTATGCATATAGAAAACAAAAAAATTCCAGGAACAGTCTTTTTATAATAGGGCATCTCAACCCCAAAAAGAGTAGGGCAAGAGGGGCTCACCGGAGGAGAAATAGTTCTTGAAGAGGACTTAGTTTTGCTTTATGGAAGGTCACCGTGTTGTCCCTACTTTCTTCCCGTTGCTGCTGATTCAGTCTGCACAGCGTCACTCAGCAAACAGGCATGTGAGGGAGGCGGGCTGTAAGGAGAGGAGTAAATGGAGAGACAGCCCACGGAGCTGGATGGGAAGAAGCAGAGTGCCAGTTGCTCCCAAACTAATCACTGAGTCCACACAATTCCAATCAAGACCCCTACAAGAAGAGAGTGTGTATCCAAAGAAAATGATCGTAGGGTTTACCTTACAAAATAGACAAGAGAGCATGGCTAAGGAAAAAAAAAGAGCATACATAGGAACTTTCCTTACTAGATAATAAAACATAGACATTTTTAAATATTTAAAACTGTGATGATGGTAATTAGACTAGGTAAATAGAATGGAAAAGACAAAAAGTTCCAGATTATGTTATGGTGTCAAAAAAAAAAAAAGCACCAGTAGCCCCCAAATTTCATTGGCTTAAAAGCCACAAAAGCTTTCTCACCCCGCTACATGTCCATCACTGGTTGGCAGGGGGACTCTGCTCACCGCAGTTTCTCGGGCCCCAGAGACTGATCAGCCACCGTAGCAAATGACAGAGGGAAGGAGAGCTGAGACAGCGCCACCCAGTTGCCTCTGGAGTGATGGAGACGTTCCATAGCTGAACGGTCCCATACATGGCCACAGCCACACGGGGCTGTCAGACCCTTGAAATGTGGGTACTGAGACTGAGGAGCTGACTTTTAAATTTTAAATTAGAGGTAAATAGTTACAGGCGGCTAGTGGCTACCAGATTGAGCAGCCCAGAATCTGGAGGGTCTCAGATGAGCAGTTAAAAGCTGGAGAGCAGATGTGCAGTC